TATAGACACAGCTTTGCAACTTGTGAAAAAACTAAAATAAATTGATATTTTGTCTAGGATTTATAATATCGTTCGGCATGAGGTGTAACATGTCTATGGCAAAAATGGCCATGAAGAACGCCACCATAGGTGATAATCACACTCTCCAGTTTAATTGGACAGTTGGCGTAGAAAGCGCCCTGGACTCATCCTTTTTCTGGGGCTATCTAATAACCCAGGTGCCAGGAGGATTTCTTGCCTCCCTGTATCCAGCGACAAGAATATTCGCTACTGCGATCGCCATATCATCATTTTTAAACTTACTGGTACCTGGCGCGTTGAAGGCCGATCCGATCGTCGACATGATCGTGCAAGTCATCAAAGGATTCGTCGAGGTAAAATTTTATAACTCTACTATGCGAGTAATAATAACTTATCATTACGAAATGATTGATTCTATTTAGTTTAAAGTATTCTAGTTTTCCAATAAATGAAATTAGTATTAAAATATCCTTATTTTGTATTTCACTTTAAAATGGACACTTGCATAAAACAGGAAATGGATAATTTTTACAAGGTATTCTTTTGCCGGTCAGGGTGTCACATACCCAGCGTGTCACGGTATCTGGAAATATTGGGCACCACCGTTGGAGAGATCGCGTTTAGCCACACTGGCATTTTGCGGTTCTTACGCTGCCATGGTTATTGGCATGCCTCTCTCGGGTTATTTGACTTGGTTGTTTGGATGGACAGCGTCGTTTTACTTTTACGGTATGCAATACAATCTTATCTTCAAAGTTCACACCGATTGCCTGAATTGACCTTAATGGAAGCGTTTCGAACGTAGGTATGTTCGGGTTGATTTGGTATTGCTTCTGGTTGTGGCTGGCCTTCGAGAAGCCGTCGAAGCATCCGTGCATTTCGGCTCGCGAGCTTCGTTACATCGAGGACTCCCTTGGCCAGGGCCAAACGCAAATGCCCATGCCGACGTTCGCCACGACGCCGTGGCGTAAATTCTTTACATCTATGCCAGTATACGCGATCATAGTGGCCAATTTCTGCAGATCTTGGAACTTTTATCTGCTGGTGCTCTACCAAGGCCGTTTCATGCACGAAGCTTTCGACATGCATCTAGTCGAAGTAAGATCCTCACATTTTTTAATTCTTATCTAATTAATATACAGAGTGAGTCAATTAGAAGTACCAAATCCACTGTTGTTGAATGATTTTATCAAAACATATTGTTCATATGATGGCGATAATTAAATGAATTTAATAAATCCAAATATATTTTTATCAGGCTTTACAATGAAATCAGTGAACAGTGGATAATATTAAATAATACTTCTTTTTGACGTACCTTGTATTTCATTCGAATTTGGGTTTCATAGAAAATTAGTAGATGAGGGCCTCCACGTTAGACAAACCTACAATTAATAATAACTCTGTAATTGTACATTAAAAATGCTCGTTGCAGGCCGGCGTGATTGGCTCGCTTCCGCATCTCCTGATGACGATGATCGTGCCCTGCGGCGGTATGCTGGCTGATCACATTCGTAAACGCGGGATAATGACAACCACGAACGTCAGGAAGGTATTCAACTGCGGTGGTTTCGGAATGGAAGCTCTCTTCTTTCTCGTGGTGGCGAACGCGACCAGGCACAGGAACGGAACGGCAGCGATCGTCGCGTTGACTTGCGGCGTTGCTTGCAGTGGTTTTGCCATTTCCGGTTTCAACGTGAACCATCTGGATATCGCGCCCAGATACGCCAGCATTTTGATGGGAATGTCGAATGGGATTGGTACGATAGCGGGACTGCTGGTGCCTTTCTTCGTCGATAACATCACAGAGAAGAAGGTATGATTAATATCCGTACAGTATCACACAACCAAAAGATATTCCTTTTCTGACATATTATACAGTTTCCGTTAAACAGAAACACATTATGTAATATATATTATTAACGAACAAGAGTAAAATCAGTATTAAATGAATTTAATAAAACAGTCAGATCGTAAATAGTTGTCTTTGTGTCTTCTAGGATGCACACAGTTGGAGGAATGTGTTCATCATTGCGGCGTGCGTGCATATCTGCGGCGTGATATTTTATGGGATATTTTGCTCTGGCGAACTACAGCCGTGGGCAGATCCTACCTTAGAAGAACAGAAGACCTTCGCTATGGACGAGTTTAGTCAAGGAAAACCACCCGTTCCACCACCACCGAAGACGATGCAGTCCGAATTCATAGTAAGCATTACCCTTACCAATCATTACGATAATAATAATATAAATGTTATTGATGTATCAATTTATTTTTCGTTACAGAGACAACCATCAGGCGGAGGAGCCGACGATTGGAATACTTACGAGCAACCACAACCAGTGGATAATACCTACGTGCAACAAGAGAAACCAGTGATCAGTTATGGATCAACGGAAACCAATAGCAACAACCCTTTTCATTCGACGAATCCGTTCGTTACCGACATGAATGCATCAATGGTGCAGCCGCCAGCGACGAATGATTACGCGTACGACGTGACGCAACAGAATCAACAATGGAATTAAACTCATCGATCACCAAGTTAAGCGAAAGGACGTAAGAAATTCTTTACCTAGCTAATTAATCGTTTCATCGATTGCAGTACATTTTATTACAGCCTCTGGTACTTCTATTGATTATTTACGTTGGCTCTTAAACAAGTAAATTAATAGCACATATCACGCTATTAATTTAAATGCTATATATTAATTCCATAATTTTAGTTAAAATAGTTACTTGGCTTTTAGACAAAATGACTGAGGACTTAATTCTTTTGCAGAGTTATATATGTGATGTAAATTGATTTTTCATAACATCTCAGTTTAGTACTATAATCACTGGCGTTATTTTTCTTAATATAATTGACATTTACAGATATTTTATAAAGAATGCAATTATTAATTTCTTCTCGAATATCGAAAAATATTTAATTACTTCAATCTATGACTCACGTAAATGCAAATCATTTTTTTTTATGGAAATTGATTTTATTCACTATAAAACGATATTTTCAGCAAAAGGACTAAGACAGAGAACGGTTTAATTAAGCATAATAATTGAACTAAAAGCAAGTAACTATGTATAAAGGAAATTGAAGTACCAGCGACATGTTGAAAGAATGTAAAATAATTTCTTGATAATTCATATAGTAATCTCTAACTATTTGACAATAACGCAAAACGGCAAGCTTCACCGTTTAAATTACACTGCAACGAAATATGTACTTTTATTTTTTGCGATACCTAAGAGTGCAGTATGTAGTGCTGTACGTGGACTCAAAAGCGATAACCAGTCACGAATATGGATCTGATTTTTTTAGGAAAAAAAAAAAGTATATATCGCGGAGAAGCGGATGCGAGAATATTCAGATATTCCCTTTTTTCAGAAGGACATTTAAATTGAAAACGAGAAATGTAAATGAAAGAAGAAACTTTCTACATTATCAGTCATCATGCACACTTTCACATTTGCCAAAAATGGATAGAAACATAGTAACCGAATATATTTTATAATTCCGAAATTGGCCACCAAACTGATTAACATAAGTAACTCAGAACGTAAGAGCAAATGAATAAGTATATAGAAGGTGGCCTAAGAACTGAGAGATCAGAAAGATTTTGTCAACAAAATATACGAGCTATTATTTACTTACATATGAAAGTATAATTGAAAGTATAATTCTATTGCGAAATTAGAGAAGAAATGATTTTTACGAGAATATATACGCAGACAATAAAAGGAACTGCCAAACCTTCGCTGACAATAATTTATTAACAAAAAGACAATAAGAAGAGAAGGTTTGGAGAAGTAAGAACATGAAAGGATGAAGCACGATCGCTGAAACTTTTAGGTATTTCCGACGTTTTACCTTTCGTTTCGACGTCGAAAACGGATAATTTAATGGGACAGAAGTCGAGAGAGAGAGAGATGAGAAGATTAGAAACATAGCAATAAAAAAAATACAATATTAAAGATATACAAATGCCGATCGTCGAGTATAGAAAAAAGGAGAGAAAGAGAAACAAACGAAGAATGGTGCACGAGTCGTTTTTCAACGGCGCTCATTTTTTGAAATAGTACAACCCGGTCCTCGATGATAATAATCGAACGTACGATAACTAGAACGAGTTAATTGTCGCAACGTCAATATTTTAACTGATGGGACTGGCGGGTTATGGTAATTAAAAGACAAAATACACTATTACTACAAAAATAAAAATAAAAGGAGAAACGCCGTGTCTTGCGGTGGCGTTCGAAATTCGGGAGAGAAGACGTACGTTTCATTCAGGTACAAGTCGTATTGTAAACGACAGATCACATTAAACTTAAGCCTTTCAAGTTTAAATGTAATCAAATTATACTCATGGGACTCTGGAACATATGAAAGTATTCGTAAGAAAGTGATAAACAAGAAGAAAGTATTAGTATTGATAGGATATTACGTGCATAAAAAAGTACTGTAGGGCTCTCTTTGCTGGGACCTGATCTCTTCGAGTAAATATTCTCATCGGCGCGCACCGACAAAAGGATCTTTCATAATAGTGATAACCTCTTGAAACACACTTTTAATTCGATATGAAATTAATTAAGAATTAGATCTCGATAATTTTACAGGGAAAATTCTATATTCTGGGCTTTATGAAGAGGGTTTTCAAGTATAAAAGATTCAAGAATAATCGTTATGGTTTAGAACTGTCTTTTAACTATAGAAACTAGAAGCTAGAAGCTCTGATGGTCAATCATATGAGTATGGATTAATCTTCATACTTGTAAAAAATAGATAATTGACAAGATATCGAAAGTATTTTGTATAAGGATTCTAAAGAATCGATTTTTCAACAATTAAAAAAACAATTATTTTTAAATTATAGAAGATCCACTAAAGATAAATTAAATCTGTTAGAACAAACAGCCTGTGTACACTAAAATTTACATAAAGTTGACGATTTTTTTAAGACTAAGATCCCGTATATTTTTTTTAATGAGCACATAGTGTGATGTCGACGAATTTAAAATCTAACAGTGATACAAATAATTCATTAATACATAACAAAACACAATTAATTGTGAATTAATGTACAATAGCATCGATATTTTTTATTGAATAGTTATTCGAGTTTATGATACGACACAATTTATACGACGGTGTGTTTCAAGAGGTTAAACAATTGCATATTATTAAAAATTCGTGAATATGTCAATATTGGTGTGTTACTCGAGGTACTTAGCGACGGACGTGTCGAAATAGCGCATGCACGGTACATCGAAATCCTGGAATTACATACATGTATATATATACATATGTACATTCTTTGGGTGGATGGCAAAACGCAATATGTTAAGATGGACAAAGTTTAGAGATTAAAACTTTAAATAATTTACTGTCTTTTTACACGTATACAGAAGATATAACAAACTAAATGCAGACTGCAAGAAAAGGCGTTTACAGAAATTAAAAAGAAATACAGCTATTAACAATCGAAATGCTGTATATTTCGAAATCTAGAAGAAGGAGTTTATGATTTGGCTAGAAATGTGCAATACTCTAATTTATTTAACTGATCTTACAGTTGTTGCAATTTTAATTATGCTATAATTAAATAAGAAATCATGCCATGAATTTATTTATCTTGGGCTATCTAAACTATAAAGTTCTACTAGTAGCATTATGTTCAGGAAAATCTATGTTTACTATCATTCTCTTATTAAAATTGTACAATACAACTGCGAAGATTTTAAACAGCACTTCTTTGACAAAAGCACAAATTACTTATGGTTGATACATTAGAAAGTAATGAGAAAATAAAATAAATTTGTGATTTAAATGTTTGAAGGTATTAGATAGGGATGAAAGATCGTTGCCACTATTTGTTTTTATGAAAATTAAACGATTCAGATTTTGCCATCCAACCATCGAGATTCGGGCAATGGTGCCACGGTTTGGATACATCGAGTTCTACTGTACTAACAATAACTATAATTTGATGAAAGTATACACAGGAAAGTACGAACGTTAGTTCGAGAATTAGGAACGCGGCGCGTTATCATACACCTACATTGTCTTAGATGTTTATACTTCATTACTCTCATTATTATTACTATAATTGCTATTATTATCACACGTGAACACGTATTCGCACACGGGCATTTACACAGACACAGATACACGTACAAAAGGAGAACCGTATATACATATGTCACATAATATATATATTTCGTTGTTATATACGAACGTTATTGGCGATATTTCTGTCGCCAATTACAGAGAACAGAATATATATGTATATTACACGCGTTAAGAGCGACGGTGGTGTCCAATTCATTGCATTGTTTCGCGGGCGAATCGTAATACGACATACTTACATGTACATACATAAAATTTAATTGTTTGTACATCTGGAAAGCACAAATAGGTTGTATAGTTGAGTATCGATCGGCCGTTTACGATATCTTCTGAGATTTATCATAAAAAGATACCAAAATGATTGCCACGTTGAAATAAAATCTATAACATTCTATGACTAAAATGAAATACTATTGTTTCTTCAGTTTTCGGAAAAGTAGTCAACTATTTTATATTATATAAAATAGTTAGTAAGACTATTTGTATACTGATTTATAAAGTCCATATATTTAATGTAAATTCGTACTAATATATACAACCAGGCACTGCATCATAAACAAACACTGAGAGACGTCTGCTAAATAAGACTAAACGAATAATTTTTAGCCACTAGAATCCAACTGATTATCTTGAAAGAATAACTCTCCAACAATCAAGATTTTAACAAGCGCAAATGCTAAAAGATCGAAGACGGTCAGTCGAGATTTTGCTATACACGCGCAACGCGGAATCATATAATTACATGAAACGTGGGTATTACAGCTAGCATGTATATGTATTCACTGGAGCGGGCCATTTTTTCGTTGCACGAGGATGTACGAGATTAGTCAATTTGCGCGATCACTTTTTAAAGTAAAAACAGGTCTAAGTACATACATTAAACGCGGAATGTATGCATACGTAAATATACGATTGTATCTGTACGTGTACACGTGGCCGTTGCGATTAATTCAACGCGCTGATCATCGAGTAAAATTATCTAGATATTATTATGTAAATTGAAAAATTTGTCTCAGTCATATCGTGACTGTAATTAATAATAATACATGTATACACATTTACAAGGCCACGTTGCATTATGCAGATACTTCAATTAATCACATTAATCGAATTGACATTATCGTGTAAAAATTTTTGCAATTTGGAGCTCGCATCAATATTCTAATTTCTTATCATATTAAATTATTCATACAGGTAACTGATTACGAAAGTAAAACCACCCATGAAGCTATTCTAAACTGCAGTTTTTACTTCGAGTTAATCTGAGACTTGGTAACTGCAGATCTTTTCTTAGCTTTAGTATATTCGTTTACAGTAAAACTTCGTTGTCTCTGGTCTTTGAAGACAAGCACGTGAAGAGAGGTTAATAGAGAAGCAATGATTAATATAAATTTCGTTAAT